TAACAATGAGAGAGACATAAGTTACCCAATACACGATACTCAGTATAAACTACTTCAACTCCATGTTTGAAAACTAAAAGCTACCCCACGAAATGAACAATTGAAAGAATTGCTAAGTTAAGGCCGTACTTTTACAAGGGACCTCGTGCTTCCCTGAATGAGATATGTGCAACTGTGATGATTATCACTATCAGTTCCGTAACAATCGGCAATACCGAACATTACGACAAACTCAGAATACGGCAGAGTTTCAGTGTCGGGTCGGCGATTCTGCTGCCATACAGCACTCCGAAATCTCAAAACCAAAGAACCTCTCGTATTAGCGTACCTGTTCCGTTTGTTGAGGGGAAGCTTAGCGCTAAGCGAGTTTTTTTTCGTGAAAAGGGTACTTGTTTACAAACAGACAACCTTGTACAAAACGCTCTGAGTTTCATACAGTTCAGCCTTGACTATGGAAGAAATTCAGTCCTTACTGGTTGTCTTTTTGGTTTTCGTCAGTTTGGTCGCCTTACTGGTTGCCTGTTTGGTTTTCGTCGGTTTGGTCGCCTNCGTACCTGTTCCGTTTGTTGAGGGGAAGCTTAGCGCTAAGCACGTTCTTTTCGTGAAAAGGGTACTTGTTTGCAAACAGACAACTTTGTACAAAACGCTCTGTGTTTCATACAGTTCAGCCTTGACTATGGAAGAAAATCAGTCCTTACTGGTTGTCTTTTTGGTTTTCGTCAGTTTGGTCGCCTTACTGGTTGCCTGTTTGGTTTTCGTCGGTTTGGTCGCCTCACTGGTTGCCTGTTTTGTTTTCGTCGGTTTGGTCGCCTTACTGGTTGCCTGTTTGGTTTCCGTCGCCTTTTTGGTTGTCTGTTTGATTTTCGCCGATTTGGTGACTTTGACTGTCGTGGGAGTAGCCGTAGCGAGTGTAGTATATCCATCGTTGTTCGTTGTCTTCGCTCCTTTCGCCATATAACGATGCTTTCTGAAAAGGTCAAAAATAACACACTTTACAGAATCTACTACGATAAATGATGATCCCACCTCACAGGGAAGAAGTAAGGATGCAAATGATCCTCATTCGACATCGATTGCTGATCACTCTCATTAAGTGTTGATAACTGTTGGTAAAAATCGCTAATCACGATTAGCCCTTTTATGAATACCGCGAATACTCGAACAGCAGATATCAAGGCATTAGGAAGCTTTCATTCCGCCAAGATTTCAGCTCCACAGCCTTCATCAGGGCATGAAATAAAGGACAAAGAATAAAGTCTTGGAACTTTGATCAATCCCGTTTGAGGGATGCGCCCACGCATCTGGCTTCCATCCAGAATCGTAGAAGGGTACTGAATGCGTCTGTGGCCTATACAATGACTTGCGGTGGCCAGCCGATGTACAGGTCAGTGCGTTTATCCTCCCAGAGGGGTCTGGTACCAGTTAACCGACCCCGGAGGGATGGAAGACTTGGTTGGCCTAGACAGAGCATGGAATGTCGGAGACAAATACGACTCAGTTCACAAATACTAGTGGCAGCATGTTGTGCAGTGACAAGTGGCGCACAGTCAGGCCAACAGGATTCATGGATCGCATTCAGGATCAAGATCTGCCCAGGCAACTGAGCTTACCATCTTTTCGCGTGGGGTTATTTGATTCCGAACTCGCCTCAGAGATTGAAAGCAGTACTTGTACATAGTCTGGCCACCGCAATTCACTGCATAGGCCTCATTAGCATTTAAAACGTCACTACGAATCTGAGTGAGAGTCAAATGCAGGGTGTGTCCTAAAATGGGTTGACAAATGCTAAAGAACTCAAAACTTTACTTGTTATTACCTCGAACCCCAAAGCAATTCAAGCTAAACTCAAACATCCAATTTTGCCAGGTCCACTAAAAGATATCCTAAATGTCCTAAGTGATCGACCCTCTTCTTGAGTAAACCTTCGGGTGCTAAGAGATTGTGTTTTTCAAACCCTTCGTTTGAATTGAATGTTGAAGCCGACAGAGGTTGTAAACAGAGTGAATTCAATGATCACCGCCAGAAATTCATCTCTCCGATTGATTACAGAGTCCGCATAACTTAGATACTGTGCCCTATCATATGAGTGATTGCTCGATGTTAACGAACCGAGTTGGATCTTAGAGTTGCTCCCTAACGGGCAGGCCATTCCAACTACTTCAACATGACAGTTATTCTTGAAAACCCGGAGTAAAGGGGTGGCTGTACACATCGAACGGCAACGATTCCTCGGCAACTACCGAACCCTTCCACAGAGAATTCAAAACTTCTCCTTCATAAGCGCGACCGCGCGCAATCGGGTGCGGCGTGTGGGACGCGATTTTCGGGTAGAAGTTACCACATCAAGTAAAGGAAAAGTATGGCTTGATCTATGACTACTTTTATCATCACAAGATCACTGCTGTAAACATGATTTCCCTTTCCCTTCTTTTCATTTTGTACATGGCATGCAGCACTGAAGGTCGTTGCATGGGTAAGCGGAGTCTACTCTAAAAGCTTCTCAAACTTTTGCAAGTCTCTCACATAATTGGTGCAACTGAAAATTTCTTTTTCAAGGTATCCTCAGGCACTCAACTAAACATGGCAGCGAAACAAACATTTCAAGGTAGGGACAAAAGTTGTCCCATTGGATGCTTGTACAAAATGGCGAAGTTTATTAGCTTGCTTTTTCTTACGTGCTCTTCCTCGAAGAGTTGTGAAGTCGCTATATTTCTATACAGAATGCGCAGAACGTAGAGATTCAGTTCAAGAATGCGTTCAAAGGGCGCTTTCAAGGGCACGATCGCTTCCTCAGTATTATTACCCTCTCCGAGCTGATCTTGTTGGCACAGAATACAAAGACTGCTCCGTCAGGACTAAGGGACTTCCCGTTGTCTTGGGATTCGGGAAGCTCCGACGAGCACTGCGTATGCTCTGAATAGTTTCAGCAGCTTCGGCAGGTGCTACTGCTCTACTCTCGCTGAGACCTTCCTTTATCGCTTCTTTTCAAAGCCTCCCAAGTTCGGACGTCAGCTGGTATTTGCATAAAGCTCCTGCTATTCCTTTTTGGCATATCAGTATGAGAGTTTCTTAAGAGGCGACAGTTTTTCAAGAGTCGCTCCTCCAGGGTACTTCTAGTCAGTATTTAGACGTGACTAGAGTTCTACAAGGAGTTCATCGTCAATGTGAACAAAGAGGTCTGGAGGGGTAATATTACTCTGTCAAGGATAACTTTATCCCTCTAGACTTCTTTGTTCACGTTAAGGTCTTAGAGGACAGAATGCGTCATTCGGAATAGGAAGATGTCGAAGTGAAGTACAAGGTCGGAACCTATAACAATTCTGCTTTGCAAAGGACATTATACTCAAACAGAAGGCAGAGGGAATGGTGGCTGAACTTGTAAATGTTACTGAAAGAACCTAACGGACGGAGACGGCTATCATGAGAAACAGACTGATTCATTCAACATTCCACGGACTTCAGCGACGTGTATCTTTATCGAGACGACAACATGGTGGAAAACGTGGTTCCGGTCGAGTGTCGAGGCGAGCGGAAGGAATAGAGTGGCAAAAGCATTTCAAATCATTAAGGGAGCAATGAAGAAGATAGAAATCATCTGGTTCTGCGTTCATCCCTCCGACACCGCGGCCCTCCTTTTCTTGGGTTACGTCTCAGAGACTAAGGTTCTACGCAGACAGCATGGGCACAAAATCATCGTCACTCAATGTGTCACGGAAATGACTTCACTCTGAGTTTCCCGGCACATGCAAGTTCAGAGGGAAATCCGGAGTACTGAGCCCCGTCAATGAACGAAGACCAGGGAAACTGCCGCACAAGAAATCGAAGATCGGGTTGGTTGGATTTGTCATGCAAGCTCATGAGGAATGCCAGACCAGTATAGGTGACAGAATCCACTTAGACGTCACGAGGACGGCAAGTTATTGACAAAACTTTGGTCACAGAGTGACTCGATCCCGTGATCATCTTCACGGGTGCCTTACTCTTTATTACTACAGAGATCCAACTTTTTTGGCCCACTCAGCGCAACAAAAACAGCAGTTCACCAAGATTGCCATGTCAAAAATAGGACAGCCGTCCGCGGCCTGACATCTTCACAAAAGCTCGAAACGAGAGAAACTGCTTGCCTGCTTGTCCTAGAGCGAGAGGATCCATTGGGCTACATAGGCTCGCGACAGGCTAGAGACGTTACCGGCCGCCCGTTCGAGCAAGTCGCCGATAAATGGGACAATAGCGTATACAGAAGAATTACAGGACTCGTTTTGGGTTTCACAAAGTTGGCGATTTATGGACAAGACTTCAGTCTCGGGCGGGACTCGAACCCGTACTTGTGCTTTCCTGGCACCGTGCTCAATCCCTTACACCACCGAGACCCCGCTTGCCCTTGCCATTTTGGATTTGTTCCTTTGCCACGAATCTAGTCGATGGATCAGGTCTCGAACAGATACCGCTTGGACCGGCCAGGACTTCCATCACTCCAGAGTCACTTAATAATATAATGAGAAGATTATAATTCTTTATCACCTCGAGCAGCAAATATTTATTAAACTCATTTTATACAATTCTTTTTTCCTAGGAAAATGAAGCTGGAAGGATTTGACAGAATTAATGCAAATTTAGAGCCGTCTCTTTGCAATCGTCTACTTTTACTACATCAACCTACCATCAACCGAAGGCGGAAGATGATCGCTTCTGCCCTATCTGCCTCGCTATCATTGGAGTGGACATAATCATCGTTTTTATCGCTCTTGCTTTTCTCTTCATTGGGATATCAGCAGAAAGAAGAAGGTCCATAAGGAGACAAGCACAAACCGAATCTCAAGAAGCAGAGGCCAAAAAGGTATGCCATTTTTCTCGGCTTTGCTTGAGCAAGTGCTCTATGCTTCGTTGCCATTCGTTGTTGGACCTAACATCGGATTTCGTGACACTCATCATATTTTTGCCTGACCACCTAAGTCATTGAATGAGCCTCATACCCACTCAAAAGCTCACCACAGCTAAGAATTGGAGTCGAATGTTGGGGTACATCCAAAAGTGGAATTGCTGAATTGAATTGAGCACAGTATCACCTAGGCGCTTTGTATTCATTGAGTCCATACGCTATTTATTGTGTCCATAGAAACTTTGCTCATTCTTTCCAATCCGAGACAATTTTATGAATTGCTTTTATAACATCATAACAAACTTCTTGAATCCTTTCAGAAAGGATTCAAGAAGAAGGCAGATCAAGAAAAGGACCACGTACGTTTCTCTCTGAGTTGTCGTTCAAAACTAAGTCGATTTAGGTGGCAGAAGATTGCTTTTCTATTCGTAAAATGCAACCAAAATTCACGCAGCCAACTTATCAGACCACACCTAGGTCCTTGACAAAAACCCTTCTCTTGTGGCTGATCTTCGATACTTCATCAGTTCCATAAGGCTGGCGCAACCCACCGAGGGATGACATACTCACGAAATACTTCACACTCAAAATGCTAAGGGATGTGGCTAAGCCCCATTTTTGTAATTCATCTTCAATAAGAAACCAAAATGTGGAAAGAGCATTGTAAAGTAAAATACTACGTAGAGAATGTCGGTAACCCTCAATAACCAAAGAGGAGCCACGGCTTTTATCCCATCGGAGTGTTCAGAAGGTTTGTAGACAGATATCAATGGGAAATGAACTGTTTCTGAAGTTTGATTTCAAAAGCTGACTAAAATCTGACATTCGAACTAGAAAATGAAAATATGGTTGCATGGGAGACGTACACAAGAGAACAAAAACTGATCCAAACAGCATCAACTATAACAGAAACTTTCAGACGTATCCAAACCCGAAGACTGGTGAGTTCGTTTTGAATGGTTTTTTGTTTTGCTTCTGTCACTTCTACGTCACCAAGCGTTCATGGTGAGCCAAGCGAAATATGTAGGACCTTTAACAGTTCAGACCGCCTACAATTACCTGAGTGCAAGTAGAAGGACCATAACCAGTAACTCTTCTCATTTCATCTGAGATTGCGAATGGAACCCTTTCTGAAATGTAAAATGAGCACAGGTTGTGGGGTCCTAGTTAGAAAACCCTGTAATGGGTGCCATCAGATCCAGAAATACGCCAGGTTCTTAAAGTAGCCAGCAGACTGGAAATTATTAATCAACCGCGAAGAGTGGTCCACTGGCAAATGCAACGGCGCCGCCCATAGAGAGAACACCCCGCCCACTCGCAGTAGTGTTCTCTCAATGATGGCGCTTGCTACAAAACCCTCACCTCAACTAATACCAGTACAGCAACCGTGAAGAGAGTGGGAAGTGTTTGAATGGAAGCATCTTAACCGAAGACGAGTGCAAACGGGCTGCGATAGGCAGGTCATGCTAATGGGTGATGTCCAATTTGAAAATTTCTGATACAGATCAAGCAAGGTCTAAAGAAGAATTGGGATCGGCAGAAGGCAACGTGATGGACAGAAAGAAGGTCAGAATTTTATTATGAGAGCACTTAAGTGGATAGGAGAAGCATTGCGTTGAAGGTTCACTAGGACTCTGACATACCCTGACGATAGAAAGAAATGATTATATGTATACAAAAGATCTCCAGACAAGGTGGAGGAGACCCGCCACGGAGAGTCGAGCGCTTTTCAGCCAATCATACTCGGGTGTTTGGCAGCTCAGTGCTCGAGAAAAAATTGCGAGTGGTATTGGAGAAGGACTGCTGTGGTGCAGTGCCAAGTGGTGCGCTATCACCTGCAAGGTCTAGGGATTTAATCCAAAATCAAAACCAGCAGAGACCAATCAACCTTATCATCCCGCTGGAATGGAATAGGCTCGTTTGGGAGGATGAAAGCAATGGCACTAAGTAGAGCGAATAGAATCTGTAGGAGTGAAAAGGATCGCTCTGGACACGTAGCGAGTCGTAAAGGTTAAGGTCATAAGATTAAGCCGAAAAGCGAAACAAAAGAGAAAATTACGAAGGCAAAGTACAGAATTCGTACTAAGCCGGGTTAGCAAGTCGATGTAGTATGCCGTGGAGAAAGAGGAATTCTCAAAGAAAAGTTCGCGAAGCGGAGGAGGAGATGTTAGCTGTGGGAATCAGCTTTCCCCAACTAATTATGGGGATTTGCAACAATTTTTCCAGAACGAAAGTAAGTAATGCATTCGTTCCAATTACATAAGCTCTGCTAACTTTTTTAGGCGAAAAAATCTTCTAGCAAAGAATCACAAATAAAATCTCGAGGAAAATCTGAAGTACTCAGCCATGAAGTGAGTTCCTCGATACTCGAGACTATCAAAAGCAAAAGTTTCGTTCAGCCAAGGATCGCTCAACTTAGATAACATGCCTTCCAGGATCATATTTCGCTGGAAGATCGGGACCCTTTGCTAACTTTTGATTTTTTACAACACAAAACTGCGCTCATGCATCACTTGAATCTGCCAAACCATTTGTTCAAAAGATCTAATCCGGGTCGCTTAGAGAGAAACTTCCTAGTTAAAAGAAGGAGGCCAGACCAAACGTTTATCTCATAAACCTGTGAGTCACAATTCCTCAATTGACTTATCCGTACCCGCTTTTCGCTTCCCAAACTTTCAGCTACTCTAGTTTCGACCTCCCCTCACTCCCTATCCTTAATTCGGCGCCGTAGCAGGGTCCGCTGTTCTTGACAGCCGTCTTCACTTTTGTCTATCTACGGCATCTTCTGCTGTTGCTTCAGTTTCATGTCGTCCTTCCTGATCATATTTCGCTAAATCTTTGGGACTCCTCGTGGTCGCTTCCCTTGAGCCTCGAATTTTTATTGCCTACCTTACCGGATGATCCTGTGGCCTTCTTAGTACGTGTCTGTTCCATTGCAGGCGCTGCTCACTCATCTTCAGCTAGACAGACACTGTTTGCATGGTCCCCTAACACCACCCTTTCTGATTTGGCCCAGTCGCGTTCGAACGTAGGCCCACTGAGCAACCTTCTTTCGGCTAATCTAGCCTATCCTACCCCTAATACCCTTGGTATTGCTTTCATTTTCCCAAGTAGACTAAGCCTGATAAAGTATCAAAAGCGATGAAATCACATGTCTTAAATAGAGCTTCCAGAGTGTCAGCAATCTCAAGATAGCGCGAACTCAAACTGACACTGAAGACATATCTTCGGGTGGATCACCATTGGTTACACGACGAGCACGTTCTGTGGTAAGCCAAAAATCTCTTCAACATCTCCAAATCTTTCCTAATCGACCAAAACTTGAGAATCTTAGACTCTTCGTCCACCTAATACTTATCTCCTAACTTTCCTATCGTTCTCCGAGAAAAAACTGAGAGGAGGCAGTATTGTGAGGGTTTTCCGCTATCTCTATTGACTGCTGTTAGAATTGACCATAGTATAACGACAAGGTTCATTGACACATTTCTTTGAGAGAACAGCATTTTTCAAAGACGGAGGTGGAGTAGCACCAAGTGGCGCACTATCACATGCATGGCCACGGCTTCAAACCCGGATCGATATCTGCCTAGATCAACCGACCCTTCCTTCCTTCTGGGGTCGGTTGGTTGGTACCAGACTCGTCTGGGAGGATAAAAGCAACGAGATGTACATCGGCTGTCCACCGCAAGTCATCGTATAGGCCACAGACGCATTCAGTACCCTTCTACGATTCTGGATGGAAGCCAGATGCGTGGGGGGCATACCAAAAAGGAACACTAAACCTCAGCACTATCCATTTCAGCCCAAAAGCAAAGAACGCGATGGTGTGACCGGTTCGATGAAATCCTTTTTCGAATTTCGCCATATCAGGAAAGCGGTATGTCTTTCAGAATATTTCTTTGGTCACCCTTTTCTAGTTGAGGAGCTTTTCTAGAGAAGTCCTTCAAGAACACTTGAAGAATGTCGAACTGTATGGTCACTGGATGGTACATCAGATATGAAAGAACTTAGTGGTTCCAGTGAGGAACAGAAGAAAGGATTGGAGGCCCAAGAAACCCAACAAACGACAATTAGCGATGATACCACTATTACACCCTCTAGAATTAAAAAGCGGACAGCTCGTTGATGCCAATGTCACCATTGCCAGCGTGTTTAAGATAGTGAATGCGATTACATGATCACATATCCAATATTATTTAATCTTATTAACCTAATAAAATTGTAATGAGTTCTTCCATCTATTTTTTTGGAATTGAATGAGAGAGGAAACGTTAGCAGTGCTCAACTTGGTGATAAGTTGCCTAATAAGCTTTTTTTTCAAGTTTCACTGGTAATTTCGCATTTTTCCAAAAGTTAAAGTGCTCAGTGGAAAGATTGCCAACCTACTTAGCTCACTCGTTGACATCCCTTCTTTCGTATCCATGTTTTCCTTTACTTCGATCCAGGAGTCTGAGTTGTCTTACTGTCTTGTCTGTCTTACTGCCTTGTCTTACTTGCCCATAGCAACTCAAAAATGACTGGAACCTGAAGTAGTAGCACTCAGGAGAGAGGAGGAGTGGGAGTCAGAAGCTTGCTGGCTCACGACTTACCTTGAAACCGAATGTCAGAATACTGTGTGCTCATATATTCGACGTTACAGCGGTGAGCATTTTGTACGTCGTTGGATTACTCGTACAAGTTGCACGGAGCAGTAAACACGCCTCTATCAATTCGAAGAGTAACGTAAAAAGTCTAGTGATACAAAAGTGGCACTGACACTGCTGACACAACAGTCCAGTCTAGTAAATACCTAAAGATCACGAATAAGCCGTGTGAGTTGAGGTTATTTTAGCTCCAGTTCACTATCATCATACTAATAGTCGTTCTTGGCAACATTGCTTTGTCTACATACTGCTCGTCAAATTCTTTACTGAAACTCTTGACGTTCATATTTGTTTGTTGTTGCTACCGAGGGATTTTTTGGTTTAAAAACGAACCGGAGGTAAGAATACCTCAAAATTACGTAAGTACCGCTGACTTATATGTAAATATACGGCTGGCCTCCCTATAGTGATATCAATGAAGACCTAGCCCAACTACCACAGGTCCCATTACCGAATGCCGGTTGATTTGAGGATCTACGAAGATACGGAGAGTGGTCATTCTTCTTCAGATTACGTGCGTGCCCTGGGGGTCCCGAATTTCACTGAGGCTGGGGACCACCATTTTATATACACAAATTGTTTCTGAGACATTTTATGCTTTGAATAAGGCGGTATGCTCCCCAATTAAGAACCGTCTAGGAGGCGGGGAGGTTCATTCAGAGATTGCCACTAATGGAAGCGGTCTTTGACTCCGCCCATACGCTCAGGGATACGTTAACGCTCAGAATCAAGTAATAGTTCCGATAAGCGGTTTTTATAAATTCCCTCGCATGATGTAGACTTTTAGAAATCTTTATCGTACTCGTCTGGAATGGACAACCGTGCGCAACGTGCATACAAACTACAAAATGCGAATCACTAGAGTTAAGGAGTGTAAGACACCTTGATATTTTACAATATTTAAATTAAAAGGCATATCATCTTTTTCGTCAAAATGAGTAAAAGTGACTGTGTTCTGAGCAATGTTAATTATCAGGCACAATAATAGAATTGTCATATTAAGGACAAATCACATTGAATGGGATAGTACAAATTGGAAAATTAGTTTGTTACAACCTAATTAATACAAAAATAATAATTATCACATATAAGATGACTCCGGGAAGAACGCAAGAGCGTAGACAACTGTGCAAAATATTGTGTGCAAAGAAATGCTCTATACATCCGAGATTTCATCTGGATGTGCTTCAAAAACGGGATTTTCTAGTAAAATATTTTTGTCCTTCTCCACTTTAGTTGGTCGAGGAGGTACCACCGGTTTCGTTGTGAGTTCCGCTCCCGTGGCTGAAAAATTGGAAATTTGAAAGTCCTAAAAAAGTTCTGATAAGAATGAATTCACTGAAACTGGAGTAGCTTCTCCGACGCTCCCGAAAAAAAAGGAAACTGGCCTAGGGCCACACTGACCAGCGACTCACCAGCCAATGCCCCTTCCAGAAAGGGTAAAAACTAGAGGGAGTACGTATCTGAATACAGAAGATACTCCGACTTTGCACGACTCTACAGGGAAGGTTTGATGCTCAGGAGACCAAAGATTGGGAAGTCTCGATGGGAAACAAACCTATAACGTCGTCACCGGTTCGATTTTGTGAACGGAAACTCTCTGCTCGTGAAGTGGACGGTGTGTTTTCGGGCAAGGTTGACATCTCCGTACCGTCCGCTTCTAGATCGTACACCGGATTTGAGAATGTTGTTGAACCCGGTTCAGAAGTTGTGATTTGATGCATACTGTACTCTATTGGATGTGGATCCTACAAATATAGAACATTAACAGATGAATTACGGTAATTGAGATAGACCGTACAGCCCTTACAGACCTGTTTGCTATCCAAAGCAGGATTACTAAAGGAAATAACGTTTCCATGGAATGATACACTACTGTCAGCTGCCTCATTCTTCTTTGATAACAGGGTTCTCTTCCTGGAAGAAATTTTTCCAATCAACAAAACGGAAGATGAACAGAAAAGCATTTTTTTTATTCTACATCGAAAGGTTCGTAGCCGATGATATAGAGAATTCCTTTCTGGGTAAATTAACTAGTACCTGTACAAGTTGACACCGACAAATCCGATGAGCCCAATGCATGCAAACAATGCCAGAAGCAGGAACAGAGCCAAGAGCAGATTTTCCGAGATCCTTCCAATCAGCTGAAACAACAGAGTAAATCAGAAGAAGGATCGGAATAATCTTTTAAAATGTTCTTTCCTGATGTTTCTGCCGCGTCTTTAAAAGTGTTCTTTCTTAATGTTTCTGACCTCATACAAGTCGGATTTCAAGGTCTCGTGAAGGTGTACACAGTAACCTCCAAGCACACAGTAACCCGAAGACACGCTCATGCGCCTCCAAACACCCTCACATACCCTGGATGAAGCCCAAGGGTGGACTCTGGGGTATTAGGGGAGATACTGCATAACACTTCGACGGGACGTTGAAATCCCTTCAATGACTTCATAGGGCGCCTAGCGGAGCAGGCGATACGGTCTCATAGGGAAGAAGTACAGTATGCCGAAAGCTCCCGCAATCGGTAGGAATCAACAGAGAGCGTCTACATTGTCTTCTCCGTCAATCATCACTGTTGCCGCCATCAATAACGCTATCCTTTGCGGAAATTTCTTGTTACTCATTCATTACCACGCGAACTATTCAGAGGTATGTATAAAGACATAATTTGCAGTCAACCTATAATTAGAATACTCTGTTTTGGCCTTATTTACGTCATTTCTGAGGGATTCCGGTCAATCCGCTACTCTTAACAGCTCAATGTCCCATTTTCCACCCTTACCATATCCCTTCACCGTTATCACTCCCCCAGCATCCCCATTCATTCTTCCACAGAAACCTTGAGCTTACCTTTCTGCTGACAGTGTTAGATTTCTGGCAGAATTCCCCTTCAAAGTCTGACGAGCACTCGCAACTTCCGTCAAGTTTACATCGTCCACCATTCGTGCATTTGCATTGGCGTGGCATCACCAGGGCGTCTACTCGGGCGACTGGGCATGAGCCATCCTGAAAATCTTCCCATTACTACTGCAATCAATTTTTGGATTACCTGAACTACTACATGAGGGTATGACGAAGACGACAAGCCCTATAGAAGCATTGGTACCACTACAGTTGTGGTTCTATCTATGCATATCGATGCTGATACTCACTACGAGCTCGTAGTAATTTACAACAGTTTTTCGCTAACCTCTTCTAACCACTGTTCAACATCTTCGGGAGGTTGAGCTCCAATTGGCTGCTACATACAACCATTATCAATTGTAATAATAAGTGGTTGTAACAAAAATTGGTGAAATAATGAAAAAATTCACGAACCGTTCCAGGGAAGACGTTCTCGGGGCAGAGACAAGCGAACCCATCGTTTGGTAGCTGTACACAAATGTGACTGCATCGAGCTTCATCACACGCACTCTTTGCCCGAGTGGCGTCGCGGGCGTACCTGGAACGAGGAATTTCCGTCCTGATTCTATTCTAGCAGATTTTGAAAAAGGTATTTTGAGAACTACTACAGCCGGGCAACCCTTATAATACTAACCTTTGGCTGACTCGTACTGCATGGACATCCTCGAGATCTGAGGCTAGTACGGATACTCTTCCACGACCGAACTTGTCCTGTACGTAGAGCGTCTTCGTTTCACGACAAACCCAGTACAAATGATTCTCGAAGACGTCGATTGCCCACGGTACGTTCGTGTCTCGCACAATAGTCGTTCGGTCAGTGCCTGCAACACGATTTGAGAATAAGCTACTCAAGCTTTCCCAGCTGGACAACTCTGACATGTCCCTATAGGCGCACAGATCTACAATAGTAGTTAGTGACAGGATGGACGTCGAGACCAACGTAGGAATTTGAGCAATAGCCTCAAAAGCAATAGTAGTGATCAAAGATACAGATTTCGGGGGATGGAATACTAAACCCCGCCGAAGAAGCCAAGTAAGACCAACAAAACGATAAAGGGTTGGTCGAAGAGGCGTATCAGAGTTTCTCTATACTCACAAAGTCAAAGGAAAAGTCTACGGTTGTCCCAGTAAGTGGCCACATGGGAAAGGCGTGTCCGTAGATGATTTGAGGATATGGAACGGGGTGTACCGTGTGAAAGTTTTTGAAAAAGAAGTGTTGGAGCTCACCATCAGGATTCACAGAATCCACTTTTTTGTATTTCGGATCTGCCCAGTAGATACGGTTACCCTTTCCTTCATCAACAGCCATCGAAGATGGTGAGAACACAAGGTCCTTCACAATAATCTGCAACGAGGGCGATTTAGCATCAACAATGCCTCAAGTGCAAAATACCAAGCCTTGCTGCTATGTATTTATCTTATTATAGTACTTACGTCTCTCAATGTACTTACTTATAAAGACCACAGATGACTCAGTAAAACAGCCAGATTATTTACTCATTTGTTTATTTGCTTACTTGCTTGTTTATTGTCTCGCTTATCATATAGCTTCTACTCCAGTACTGCCTGGGGAAATGTTATGAGATGGAACCATTTCTGACAAGTTTTCATGTATTGATGTGGCTAATCTACAGTGGCTCCGAATCGGATGGAATGCTCTGTCCCGTGCCCCTCGAGCGACAAGGATCCACTGGACTACTCTGGCTCGAGACAGGAACGAATAGAGATGTTACTAGCACTCATTCAGGGAAATCGATCATCATTGGGACGATACAGATGAATTTACAATTAAAAGTCAAAAGTAAAGCTAGCCAACCTCTCTATGAGTTCCGTCCATATCGGCACATTCGATCTTGGCATGAAGACCTGCATCTGCGTAGCAAATACGTCCCACTGATGGCAATGTCACAATCGCAGTCGGCATTTGGAGATGACCTGAACAGAGCACTTTTTTCTGGGGTGGTGTGGTCGTCCTATACTACAGTCCGACTATAATCAAGCTCACCGCCTATGATCTTCTTCAAGTATCGCCCATCGGACAAAGCTACAAAGATGCTGCCGGTGTCGGTATTGTGGCTGGGCTCACTCATTCGCTTCTTACGAGCTCCTGGTACCGCAATGATCCCTTCCTCATTCGATACCGTTGTAATGAAGATGTTTCTGAAAGGTCGCCCTTGATACGATCTCATCGAATTTAGAGATAATGAATTTCATTAAAATTACGAGGGGGACAATGAAAAAGTTTATTTTGCTCGTCGTTAAAGGCATAGTTCACTGTAAAAATGGTTTATAAGATACCCCACGAGGATAAATCTGTGGCCCTTCGTATACCATATGTATGTGGCGCTGTCTGGTCGGAAAACGGCCTAGATAATGCGTCATAAACGCTCAAATATTGTCCAGTCTGAGGCGCGGACGAGTTTCAACGGCGCAGTAGAGACTGCACTAACTCAAGAGACTCCCATGTTGGAAGTTCAAACAACTTGTCATGACCCATAGCGACTTTGAAAGGTAATTCTTGACAGTTTTGGCTTGATCTAGTTGGCTATTTGCGAAATTATAACAACTGTAATCTCGTCCCAATACCCCTTCAATGACATTTCCGTCACGGTGATCTCGTACAATCTCTATTTCCAATACTTTTGAAGTGTCTTATTTCTCGCAAAATCGGCGAATTTTTTCGCTTTCTTCATACCCAAGCACTATTCCTAACCGATACTTCCGTGCTTCGATTTAGGATGTGTGCCACAACTTTTTTTATTTTTTCGTTTTTTGTTATCCGTCTTGTAGATAAGAGGGTTGATACTGTATGTAGACCATAATCCTAGCTTACCCTGTCAAATAGTCAACGGCTAAACTCGTCGGGGTCACTCCTAGTGAACCGAAGTCGAGATCGAGTTTCTGACCAGCGTGAGACTGATTGCCGCTTGGTTCTGATGCTCTGTAGATGAAATTAGTGCCTCCGTCGAGCCAGAATTGAAGTGCACGTCGTGGATCAAAGGCGATCGCTACGATGTCGCTGTCTTCTTGTTCTGCCTAAAAGGAAGAGCATTTCATTAGAGAAAAAGAAATCAAAAAAAGGGCGCAGTCTTCCGGAGAGGAAACTCAAATGCTTCTTTTTACTGACGTCATTACTCACTACAAAACAATCTCCAGTATGGCAGCCTTCACATACCTGAGCAGCAGCATGGCGGTTGACCCGTGCTCCATGTAAGGCGACCTGGACGAGCTCATCATCGGCAGCAACGATTATGTTTGCAGGATCGCCCTGAAAACAAATAGAAGTGCAGTACTATCAAAGAAATGTGAAAAGACTTTCTATGGTCACGTTGACTATGGGAAAACTTTTGCGAAAGCTTCTACTGTGAAACTTGAAGCTCTACACCAGAGCCTTTGAAATAACACACCTTTGCTCTGCAGTCTTTACCAGTCATCGCACCGACAACGACGTTATTCTCATAGTCCTCATGGCATCTGCACAGATACGATCCCTTCGTGTTGAGGCACATTTGTGTGCAGGTGTTGTTACCAGCACATTCGTCGATGTCGACACAATCGAACGGATTCGAAGGGTCTGGCTTGAAGCCGTCGCGACAGTGGCAGTAGTAGCCGTCACGAACATCTACAAAAAACGAAATGAGGATGGTGCAGCTCAGTAACTATTCTTGACCTCTGCTGATTCCTCGGAAAAATGATTCTATCTTGAAATTTCTACAAGATATTGAGCAATATGTTTTCTTAAGTGGAAACTGGAAAAGTACGAACCTGTACAAAGATGCTTACAGCCACCGTTATCGTTATGGGATTCGCATGTTTTGCCGTTCCTCTTGGCTGAAACAGGGTTTAATGAATTGCAGGGAACTTTCTCGATAGTGAAGTGAAGATTGAGTGAACTTCAACTGTCCTTTCTTGAACAGTCCCCCCCCCCCGCTCATCCCTGCTGAGGATAGGCTCAGCTTTTGGCCTAACAAGCTTCATTTATCCTGTGGATAAAAGCCAAATACGGTCACAATAGACACCTACAGCGACAAACTGCTCATTTTCATCTTTATTGGGTGTGCCTTGTATGTCTAAGCCACTCAGATGGATTATCCAACAAATGTTACCCACTACTATGTAGTGACACATTCCCGAGCCAAAACCTGATTGCATGCCTTCCAGGGGGAGTGCAAAACTACACAACCTAGAAATATGTAAATTCATCCCACTTCAATTGAAAGGATAATGATTGGAGGATTGTCCCTTCTCCCTTATCATCCTGGTTTCTTTTTCCTTCTTTTACTGCTCCCAAAAGAACATTGTCTTCTTCAAACGGCTCCCCACTGTTATAATTCAAAGGTCCCACAAGTGATAGGCCACCCTGAGCAGTCTCGATACCTTAGCTTACCTTCAGCCCTCATTTATGCTGAGAAGGCTCTGAGCAGAGATCAGTACTGCATAGTTAGCTGTTTCGACAGTAGAGATGAAAAAAACAATTGGATGAACTCGGTCTACCGAGTTCGAGTTGCTCAAATAGTGGTTAAAACATTAATTACTACTTACTGCATCCGATTTCATCTGATGCATCCCCACAGTCATCATTGCGATCACATGGTAATGAGCCATTGATGCAGCGGCCATTTGCGCACTGAAACCCGTCATTTTTCAGAAATACATGGGCTAGTTCTTCGAAATAGCAGAATTTTAGAAATTCAGATCAGCCGAACCTTGAACTGATCCAGATTGCAATCCCCATATTCCGAGAAGCTCGAACACATTGAAAGGTGCTCATCGGAATAATCATTGGGGCCGCAGTCATTGAAGCCGTTGCAAAGCTGAAAACGAGGAAATCTTAACCCAGAAGTTACGAGAAGCGCCCAGGCTCAATTCCGTTGACGGACCATCAAAAACGGAACAAAGCCTTCCGAAAAGACAGCCATTAGAGTCATGTTCAAGGAGAAAAACTCTACCTGCAGAATGTTGAGACAGAGCCGTGAATGAGCACATCGGAATCGTAGTGGAGGATCGCACTGAGCGGAACGGCACTCTGATGAGGTCTCATCTGAGTTATCACCACAATCGTTATCACCGTCGCACATGAACTTGCGTGGAATACAGACAGAGTTCGAGCACTCGAATTCGAATGGCGAGCATGGACGACGCTCCTGAATTGTGAGGATTATCTAGCTTCACAGAAGGTTGGGCTCTACTGATCAAGCCGAAAGAGGCTCGAGCTGTCCTCACTCTTTAGCCATCTATCTTGGAGTGGGTATTGACTTTACCTCCAGGGAGACATGGGTAAAAGTAAGCTCAAGAAAGGGGATAACTCCCTGGTCCTTGCGACACATCACTGAAGAGATATGATGTAACTAATGGTAGGCATCTATCACCAGAAATTATAACCACGATTAAGAAAAGCTCTAGCGGATTCCCGACCCTGCGGTTCACAGTTGAATGGGCCTTCGATGTGGAATCCTACTGGCTCTATAGGGTAATACTTGATAATTATAAACTGCATACTGCTATGGAGCCGGAATGACCTGGCCAGCTGACTAGCGGCAGCCTGGACCTGTTCACATCGTGCAGCGATACTGACACCTTAGGTAGCTATGCGGCCAGTGCGACCTCACCCCGTAGGTAGAATGGCCATGATAACAGCTCCAGCGATCATGGAATAGCTACTACTTTACTAACCACATGAGAACAGTTGGTCTCATCAGCCGCATTAGGACAATCCTTTCGTCGATCACACCACTTATGTTCCACAATGCAGGTACCGTCGTCACATTGGCGATGTCCAGCAGCGCATTTCCTTAGAGTGCACTGAGACTCGTCCAGACCGTCACTACACTGTACAGTACCATCGCAGACCTGTAGAATGTCAAATTGCCGCTGTAGAAAGCAAGATAATTATATTCTACGAATTTTACAGCACCTACCTTACTGCCAGGAATACACTTTCCATCATTACAACGGAATTCGCTTTCAGAACATGGTCTACTGGTTCCACCACAGCTTGGATCTGTCTCATCTGAATTGTCACCACAGTCGTTTTCACTGTCGCACATCCATCGCCGTGGAATGCACTTTCCAGTGGTTGCACAGCGGAATTCACCTGGAACATGCATTCTCAACAACAGCGTACCTTAAGTAAATTGAAAACTCGTACCAATATCATCGCAAGTGGGACATCGCTCCTTATTCTCGTCCGAGTTGTCGCGGCAGTCATCTTGACCGTTACAGAACGCCCAGTTTGGTATACACCTGGAAGAGCGTAAGAACCTTATGCCACTGTCTATTATCTTTGTTCCTTTGAATTGGGAGAAGAAAATTTTCTGATAAGATGGAATCGGCTCTCACGCACCCTCCAGAGACGCTATTTACCCGATGGCCTTTTGGGTGGATTGGCCAAAGGTTTGCTTAGGGTAACGTCCATGACTCCCCGTTAAGAACTGTGAGAACAACATACCTGTAGGAACTAGCACAACGAGTCCATCCACGTCGGCATTCCACTTGTGCACAGTCGGGCGTTTCATCTGAGCCGTCACCACAATCGTCGTCATTGTCACAACGCCAAGCTTTTGCAATGCATTTGTTGTTTGTGCAACGGAATTCTTCGGCGGTACAGTTCCGGTCGGGGCTCACTTAAGTACAGTAATTCAGGAATAATCCTTGTGTCAGTAAAGTAGTTTAGACTAAAGTAGTGCGCCGAACTCACAGCAAAGACTATCGGCTTCATCGGATCTGTCACCACAGTCATCATCACCATCACATGTGAAGCGCCTTGGAATACATTTACCAGTAGCAACGCACTGAAAGGATAAACATGTTTATCATATCATTCTATATAATATAGTTGTATCAATAAGTATATTTTGAAATATTTTGCTATCTTGAGGTGTTTTGACTTAAAGAGAGCAACATTTTTCGAAAAAAAAAAGAATTTGATTAAGCAAAAACGGACTGTTGTTTGCAGTACAAACGCCTTTCCTTCTGTAACTATCCCTGCCCTTGCAAAAAGTCAACTTGTGCTGTGGTTTTTACATCTATTTCTAACGAATCCGTCCATCAGTGTGCTTAAAAGAAGAACCTTCACAGAAATTGGGGGTCGAGAATTTTTTTAACATCGTCAGCTATATCTGCCGTAGTTGATAACGTTAGTGTTGGTCCTCACGAATGTCATATGCAGCGAAATAATTAGACAGCTGGTGAGTTCATTCCCCTCGGAAGGTGAGTGTTTAGGCCTTAAGACTATTCCTTAGGTTACCTTGAACATCCAGGGATCGCATGGTTTGTCGCATTCCTGTTCATCGGAACCGTCACCACAATCATCGTTTCCTGAAAAAAGTTCAATGTACTTAGAACGTCAACTCGAGGGAGGATTCGAGTGAGGAACGAATGAGCGGTAATTCTCACCGTCACAAAGCTGGAATGGTCTTGTGCAGTTGTGATTCGAGCACTGGAACTCGCCCACGGGGCAAATACGAATACCTGAAGAAGAACTACTGTCAGTACAATACACCCAATTCATATATTTCCGACTGTGCATGAAATGTTCGAGCTTCACATACCGCAGATATCTTTTCCTGGCTCATCGCTACCATCTCGGCAATCCGGCTCTCCATCACAGTACCACAACTTCGGAATGCACTTAGCATCGTCACCACCACAAGCGAACTGGCGATCGGTGCAGTTCGGCTCGCATGTCTGTAAGGATTTCGCTTACCAATTATTCTCTATATAAACTACTAACACGGTGAATGCTCAACTTTGGCATAAATGAAATAAGCATCTGATGTAAGGAAACGAGTTGAACAGCGAACTGTTCTTGAGGAGCTGTACCACATTTTCAAAGTTCAGAGGTGAAAGAGCATCATAAAAGACGGACAGAGGAGGGGGGAGGCTCTGACAAAGAGACGATTTCACACGTCAACAGAGCTTACTAGGATAGGATTTCAGCGTGTAGCAGCGGCTGACTCTCAAATTCTACCAACGGAACTTTTGAAAGGAGCGAAGAACAGGAGGGAAGCGAAAAAGAAGCGAGACGAAAAAGGGAAAGGTAAACTTGCACGAGATGAGAAATTGGTCCTAGGAAGATACAATGAACAGCTACTGGGAGCTTAACTAAAAAAAGATTACAACAGGGCCCCTGGGCGAACTTTAATGGGCGAATAGCACGGAAAAGTCAGAATAGGCTTCGAAGAAGTCGAATTGACAAGAGACAGTGCAAAAAGCGGTAGAGCCTTATGATGAAGTTTTACTTTTTCGGAACTAGGGGGCTTGTCAATGAGATCGCAATTTACAGCAAAGAGATTACCTTGTTATCGCCGAGCAGTACAAACTGATCAGGGCATGCGCAGGTGTAGCCATTACCACCAGCACCGATGAGGCAAAGATGAGAACAGCCTCCATTGTTCGTTCCACAAGGGTTCGGATATGCTGGTTGACGAAGTGGATGGATAACCTGAATATCTTAATTTCACCATGCCACTTCAATGGATAAACTGAAACCGGACTAAAAGGTGGTTGAATTGAATTATTCTAAAGCGTTCATGGGGGAGGAGCAGGATCAAAATTTACCCTCAGATCATTGGGCAGCTGAATCGTCTTCTTCAGCACAGTTTCGTTCTTGCCAGTCCATTTATCGCAGCGGATTACTTCACGCAGATTCCAATCTGACCAGTAAAGGTAGTCATCGAACACCACCTGAACAGGAAGGGATATTAATCAATATGTATGTCATAAACTGTGCCTAGTCTTTTGCCATCTAAAATTTATTGATGTTTACAAGTACTCCAGTTTACATTTCTCAGAACCTTTTTCACTATAGATTTTTATGACATCATCCTAATGCTTAGAGCTCACAGCCGTCTTCTTGTGTTTGTAAGGTAAACAAAATCAAGTTAATACGAAGGATTCGAGAGCTTGGAGGTTACTGTGAAAAAGCTTACCATGCTAGACACATGGCTAGTACGCTGTGCTGGAATGTGACGCCGGCCACCTCCGTCTAGATCCATGAATCCAATCTCATTCAGGTGAGCATCGCCCCAGAATAACCTAGAATGAGGGCAATGTATTCACCAAATACTGGAACCGATCAATATCGCGATCGATACCTGTTCGAGTAGTAATCGATAGTGAGTGCATTTGGCCATCCGAGATCGTTTTCGGCCAATTTCACAATAGGGTCAGCAAGTTCTGGAGACCCGTCCAAGGCCATACGACCAATGTATGGCTGTAGACTCCATTCGGTGAAGAACAGATAACCCTTGCCAGGGTGAATAGCTATTGCCTAAAATTTCGACAAAATGAGCTAATAATTGATAAATTCCCTAGCTTAGGATTACCTTGGGCTGTGAAATTCGGTCCCTGATTAGAGTCCTGCAGAATCGTCCATCAAGTTCGCAAACACGAATGGATTTCTCTTGTCTATTCAACATGTAGATTTTTCGTCCAACCCAGTCGACCGCGAATCCTAAATTATTATTTACTTATTTGTTTATTTATCAGTATCAGTAAAAAGGTATCGCCATGATATCGCCGACTTAGTTTTAGTTTAACTATTGGCTAAAAGAACATGGGGTCAGAAAGAGATGGGGTAAAAGCTGAGTTGGTAAAAGGTTTGACGCCAACAGTAATAGATGGACATGGAGCAGGCACTCAGAAGTTGCAGACTGTCCTTGTTCAGGAAGGAGTCTAGAGGAATTCCCATTCAAGAATGACGAAGAGGTAGGAAAGAGAGAAAAAGGGATGAATTGATGTTAAGAAACCAGTCAACACACCTTCGATGCCGAATATGTTGTGTCGAAGAACAGTCTCATAGCTAGACACTGGATCGTCCATCTCTTCAATATCCACACGTAGCAGGCGTAGCTTTCCTTGGTCTACCAAATAAACCTAAATTTCTTGCTCCGATTAGCGAATGGACAGTAAAATTGAAAAGGGCAAGCCTTATGTATAGTCTGAAATTCAGCGAGTATCTAGAGCTAGACTCATTCCAAAGGCATGCACAGTCCACCAACTCTTCAATATAATACTGTCGCTCATTTTTTAAGATAATTCTAAACTTACAGCTTTCCTTTACACCTTTTCCCCATTATTTTCCTAACACCCGTCTTAGGCACTGTTTCGGATAATCAATTGAGTAAATAAGACTAGGCGTGAAGTTTTCTCGAAAAGAAATGAATTGTGAGAAATACTCTACATCCCAACCTTCTTTTCAGTCAAATCCACATCCAGTGAGACGACGTTGTCAAAGCCTTGAGCTGCCATTTCGTATGTGTTACCGTCAAGGGAGATCTTGCGAATGTAGTGCTTGTTGGCGAGCATCAGCCATGGTACAGGTTCCTGTAATGGAAAATGTAGTCAGTAGTCGGTTCTAGTAAAATTAGAAAGTTGCGATGGCGACAAGCTCCTTGGCACGCTTGAACTGATAATTTCTTCCCAAATAAAACCCCTATTATGTGAGGTGTTCAAATCCATGCCAAGTTTGAAAGTATTATAGTTTTTTCGAATTAAGATATTATCAATAAAATTGTGAATCAATTGCAGCAGTAAATGAATAAATTAGTGATAAGAGACGATAAAATACAATAATAAAAAAATGAGCTGTCATAATCCTATAAGCAAGAAAATAAGTAAATTGAGTAGCGATTGAAGATAATCTAAGAAGTCAGCCGTGTGGTGGAAACTTGAAAAATGTTCCAGAATGCTGTATCACAACCTTCGTGAATGTTTTCAATAGCGAACGGTAATTCTACCCAAATTTAACTGGTAATTCTGGCATTTCAGAGAACAACAGGAAGGCCTTGGACATTAGTTTATCCTCTCCCATTTATATGAATGAAGTAGTTGCCTATCTAATAAGTAGATAGCGAATAAGTTGAGATATTAACTTACCGCCTGTGTTCTCTTACAGCTATGATCGTCTTTACCCAGTTGATAACCTTCCACACAGCCGCATTTATACGAGCCAATCTTATCTTCACAGGTTTGGCTACATCCGGAAATTCCCTCTGAAATATAGCGCTCGTCAAAAAACCATTAAAGTTCCCAAAAAAAGAAAAAATAACGGATTATCAAGTTGATATTGTTTCCACCTCCTTTTATTGACAAAAGTCAGCAAAGAATATGTTTACAAGGGCAATCAATGAAAGTCCGCATTTCAGGCTGGTTGACATTAGTTCCACCTACCGTAGCACTCGTTCACATTATGACAGCTCTTCTTGTCGTCCACATCAATGGCGAATCCTTCAAAGCAGTCACAACGATAGCCGATTGGTAAGTCGACACATTTCTGCTCACAAAGTGGTTTATCTGCTTGGGCACACTCGTCGATGACTGAAAAACAACTCTTTCTAACATTTCTTGTAATTAAAAATGAAATAAATTAAAAGCGATAAGTACTTGAGGAACGTTAGGTAGGAGAAGTAGAAGAAGCAAAAAGACAAAAATAAAAAGCGGTTATCATGAATTTGTGAAACTTACAGCATTGTGACGATTCGTCGCTACGGTCGGTACAATCGTAGTTGCGATCACAGACCTGAAAGGATTGGAGATTTGATCGAAGGCTTTAGGAAATCGAGTGATAAATTCCTTACCTTCTTTTCGTCGATACAATCCCCATTGAGGCATTGATATTGTCCTTTTGGACATAGCGGGTGACCTGTACCCATGTCCTGAAAAAGAAAATAAGGAAATTTGTCCAAAAAGGAGGAAACTGCCGACTCTACACAGAAGGTCAAATCTCTTTCCTACCCTCTAGTCAAAGAAGCGAAATCTCTGTCCGTACATTTATCGGAACCAGTAACCTACCTTTTGACTCTGGGCGCATTCTTTTTCATCGGAACCATCATCGCAATCATCATTTCCATCACATCGCCATGAATTCGGGATACATTTGTGGTTGGCACATTGCCAGAACTCTGCTTGGCAAGACGAATACGCTACAAACAATACAATTCGATTAGTTTTATCATTATGTCGATCAGTAAGAGCGGATTCTTACTGCAATTGGCATGTTCGTCAGATCCGTCGAGACAGTCGTTGTCACCATCGCACTCCCAACTTTGATGGATACAGTGCTGATTTTGACATCGGAACTCGCCTTTGTTACATTCCTAAGAATGGAACTTCGGGAAAAAAGTGGAAAAGAAAGACAAGTACGTATTGGTCCCAAATGGTCTAGAATTTGAAAGAAAAAAGCCAAATTGTAGATTCTTCCAGAGAAGCCGTGGTCAGAGAGTCACTAGAAAAGGCGTGGCCTAAATCATTCCGCTGAAGAGCTCAACGATCACACCTTCTTTTCCGTCTTGCACAACTCGGCCGACTCGTCTTCTCCACCAGCACAAGTGACATCTCCATCGCATAGCCATGCCTTCGGAATACATTCGTACTTCGGTTGTGCAAGCCTTGCATTTGAGACACAGTGGAATTCTTGGTCAGTGCACGTTCGGTTCCCTGGACATACTCAGTGGTAAAATGGGATCACATCGCAGTATACTGGAGCACCGAATTAAATTGTTACCACAGCTATGTCTCGTGTGCTCATCAGAACTATCACCACAGTCGTCTTCACCGTCACAGATGAATGCTCGGGAGATACATTTGCCGTTGTCACACTGTAAGGAGGAGAGTAAGGGCTGAGAAGTAAAGGAAAAGGAAAAAGGTAAGAAGAATGAGAAGTCTGGGGTGGGCAGAGCAGCTCTTAACAGACCTGGAACAGATACTCTCCAACGCAAATGCGCTTGCCATTCTCGTCGGTGCAGTTCGTATGCGTCTCATCCCAACCATCCGAGCAGTCGTTGTCTCCATCACATTGCCACGTCTCCGGAATACATCGGCCAGACGGACAGCGGACACTGGAAACGTCAAATCAGCCATTAGTGGTAGGTAGATTTAGTTGTCGCTTTTACTTTTACTTTGACAGAAGGCTCGGACTTCGACTGACTTATAACATAGCAAAATTCATGTTCCCGAATGACGGCTATAAACAGGGTCCACAAGAAGAATAGGAGAGAAGTCGAGTAGCATGGCAATATCAGAGCAATTGCCTGCCTGGGTAATATTTCGGACGGTTGTCTTAGGAGGGACTACAGTACATAACCACTAGAGACCGCTGAGACCCAAAAGTCTTTTCTATAATTGGATAACGGATAATGGCCTTTCTGCTTCGCGATTGAACTTTCTACTCTCAGAGAGTTACTAGTGCTTATTAACTTACTAGTGTTGTGCACATTGTTGATTCATACAGAATAGTTTATTCTCGTCAGCCTTATCTCCGCAGTCATCGTAACCATCGCAAAGATCAGCTGGTTGGATGCAAATGTTCGTGTTCGGACATCTGAAGGAATACAAACAGTAAGAATACGGTGCAAACACTGTCTATAGCTTTGTAAGGAAGTCGTTACCGTATTTTCACTCCGCGACAATCGATGGGCAATCCTGGACAAGCTTCCTTGGATTCATCAGAAACGCCAGTATCGTGACAATCGTTGTGACCATCGCACACCTTAAATAAAACCACTACGAACTTTGAATAGGTTTCTTCGACTCCAGTGGTCAAGTGAGGAATATAAAAATGGAGTTCAAGAGTTCGCGCGAAAAATAAACATTTATACTTGGAGGCACCGTGGGCTCTCCCGGAAGGCAAAGTTTTTGGTAGTGATTAATCTTATCCCGGACTGGTACTGATTGTAAGGACATTCTAGGAACACTCAGACTGAAGGCTATGCCTCAAAGGTTCAGTCTGATGTCCTAGAATGTAAAGGAGATAATTACATATACGAAAAAATACTAAGCCTAAGTTAGGGTACAGGTAAATTCACCTTGGTCTGATTGATACAGTGCCCGTTGCCACAAGCGAAAGTACCGGCCGCACACGTGACGGCAGCAGCGCAGTCCAGTTCATCTGAAGCATCGCCACAGTCGTCGATGTGGTTGCAACTGAAAATTTCCAGTAAGTCTTGTATAAGAAAACGGTTTCGTTTGACGTCAGTCGGACCAAGGTAAAAAAAACCCCAAAATAATAATCAAAAAAGCGTCAAAACAAAAAACCGTTCAATCAACAGAGGAACGTACCGCTTTACTTCGTCGATACATCGCCGGTTCGTACATAGGAAATAGTTCTCTGGACAAGATCGAGTGTCTGGAATGAAGGATTCAAGGGAATCTCGTTAAAATGAATTGAAAATATAGAGCCAAAGGGAATGGATAGAACCAGTAGGTAGGGACTCACTGCAGTAGTTGGGATTTTCATCAGACGAATCTGAACAGTCTGGCTTGCCATTACAGGTGACACCCAGAGCGATGCAGGCACCGTCACCGCATTGGAAGTTGTATGGTGGGAGACATTCCTTTGCCATACCAGAGTCCATTCCTGTTCGCAGTACGCATTGAGTGGGAGTGTCCTGAATGAGCAGCAGTAGGTGGCACATAAGAACAAATAGCAGTGAAACCCAGATGGGGCCGGAAATACAAACAGTACCGTACCTTTCCGGGTTCCTGCACAAGTTCATAGGTGTCATTGCAAGAGCACTGAACCTTACTGGCTGCCAAACCGATCTCATCAGCAATAACCGTGCAAATCTGGAAAACAAAGTTGAAAACTCTTTTAAAAGCTAAATACCATAGGATGGCGGTGCGATAAATGAAATATCCAGCAATAGAAATTCCTTAGAAAGCTTTTCTGAATTTCTGGGGTATCTTATTAACACTATTTATTCCAGGAACCGCTCCTTTCTTATAAAGGACTCTGGTCTTGGTGGCGCGAATATGTGGGGAGAATAACATGCGACCAACATCGCCTCCCACTGGCTTTTGACTGTTCAGGGTGGTGACCAGCCAGAAATGATTTATGAATTTCTATAAACCAGCCTCTATGCTCCACTACATTGTGTTTTTGAAAAAGCGTCTTCCTGGTGCGAATTGAGGACTCCAGTCACACCGTATACCGCTGGAATAGGTTCTCACACCGGTTCACGGAGAGCCTGCAGACCATTTTTCTGAGTCGCGAGGGCTGCGGACATTTCAGGTCGTGCCTACTACTATAGAAACCTCTCGGCCAATGTTTGGTGCCTGGGGCGACTCATTGAGCTTCTAATCAGGTTCCCCTCATTGAGAACAGGAACTGTACTACACGACCAGAGCAAGCCTTTCTGCGTAAAGTAAGACTTTTGGAAGATAAGGACCATGCTCATATGCTGTTTTTGGACGATTTCGATGGGCCCCAGCAAGGAAATCCAGCTCCTACTGATCTGTGAAGAAAGTAACCTTACCTGGTCACAACCTCCGTTGTCAGTCTTACAAAGAGAAGCAGTGATGGCATTGCAGATCTGATTTCGAGTTCGGACATCATTCTCAGATGCAAAGACCCTGAGCGTTCCTGGCACTCTACGGTCAGTCACAACTGGCTCGATAACGCCGCCAGAATCCTGAATAGTTACTTATTGCTTCTGTCGGAGTAATCATCTCGGCAACCTCTGGAAGGACTATTGGCTAGAAACCTTGTTCAATCGGAATACACCATTGCTCAAAGGATCGCTCATGTACAACCACTGATCCCAAATATCCAGCGATTTGGCACGATATCCTGCTCCAATCACCTAGAAAGAAGTCTGATGAATGCCGGAAATAGATCTCGGAAATCCAGAAAAAGAATCGCTCACCTTCCTATTATTTCCATCATAGTCACTGCTCTCAATGTTCAGGCGATTCACGTCAGCCCAATAGATTCTCAGATTCCTACAAAAGAAGTATTCGACATGAAGAATTTTGCCAAACCACAAATAACAGTAATGTACCGCACCTAAAGTCCACTGCAATAGCAGCTGGCAGTGAGACGCTTTCACTAACGATCACCTTCCTATTTCCTCCAGCCATGTTGGAACGCTCAATACGTGGTTCGTAGAGTCCTCAAAGTATTCAACACGATCATAGAATGAAGTAAACTCGAAATCAATCGGGAAACAAATAAGCAGGGATGAGGTGGAAGAGAGATCCTAGCATCTGACGCTTAGCGCTAGAGCTAGAGCGCATTATATTATCTCGTGGAAAAAGCTGAGATGTGGTATGAAGTGAATGATCAACTGAGTCACCCACCCTAGTGCTCCTTTCCTTCTTAGGCTTAGGTGAAAAAAGATATTGGTCGATACGATAAAAACTTGGTCAAAAAACGATCCAGGGCACCATTACGGTTCAACGGGGCTACCCCTCCTTCTCTACGTTCTAACTATTGAAGTGAGGGATAAGGGAGGGGCCTCCCATCGACGTTATAGATGCGGACATTCTTAGAAGTTCAACAGACGGAGATTTCCTTCTCACTCAACCAGTGAATCGAAGCGCTTTTCCGATTTCTAATCCCAATACTTTAAACAAATTACAACTTTTATTTTTTGGTTTTTGAGCCACAAACGTGATTTTCTATTACCCAACTGCTTGCCTGTTTTCCCTTCTTTCGTCAACAATTAAATAAATAATTAACTGAATAAATAAATGAATATATAAATAATCAAATACAATCGCAACTAACCTCCAGAAGCCTTGTATCCGCTATCACTCCAGAAGATGAGGCCACTGCATGGATCCAATGCCAACGCATAGGTCCAATCACCAGAGGCAACCTGAAACCAAAGAATTCACGCTTCGTCTGTCCAAAATGTGATGAAACAGAAAGAATCGTTTCCCTCCTACATTACGGTACTCACAGTGCTGAGGTGCTCCCCTTGCGAATCGATTGACATAACTTTTCCGGCACGTCCAGTTGTGAAGTAGATTTTCTGGGTAAGCCAATCAAGTTTCATGTCAGATACATGGCGGATATCCATTGCATGCTGAAATCAGTCTACCTTACATCACTCAGGTAAATATGACGTTCCATATGCTTATTCCATAGGAGGAAAGGGAAGGGTAAAGGGAAAATGGATACATGAGGGCATGCTGATAACCTACTGAAGTGTGTGCGGAGCTGCCCCACCAAGGGATCCTTTTCTCGACTAAAAACTGAGTAAAGTAATTTTGAAAAATCTAATTAGCTGCGATTGCGCTCAGCAACAAATAATTTAGAAGTAGGTATGAAGCTAATCAACCATCCGTCCCTTCGTGGAATGCGCTATGCACTCGATCCCAATCAGAATTCTTCGATGCATGCTAAATTAGCCATTGGAAATGGCTCTTGCAAGCTAAGCGGATGGCGAGCATACGCCTTCATGATAGGATCTGCAACCAATCGATTGAGCTTACAGGGTTGGATGGCTTGATTGGTTCACGGGGATCAGTTTCAGTTACTAAATTCAATATTATTGTTTTTTTTTACGCTGATGGTCTCATACTGAAATAGCCTTCCCTTCTGAATTCTGCGAAACCTTCATTAATGAAGGTGATTGCGAGATTTTAGGAACTCTTTTTTTGAGTTTTTTCGAATATTTTCTGTAGGATGCATTGTGAAATAATAGTTTTCATGAAATTTTCATATTTTTCACACTTTTTACTTGCCTGAGCTTTGTTATTATCATGTGTTTAAGCGCACTTGACCCTCCGACTAAGGGAGTATAGTCTAAAAATGAAAGCCTAGACTGGAGGTAGATTTTTACCTACCTTCTGTTTAGTAGCACCAAGAACCAGTCTAGGATTATCAGCATTGTTCATACTGAACCAGCTGATGTTAACTCCTGACGGTGATTCAGTAACATAGTAGATACGTCTCAGATTTACGTCGACATCGAATACTTGTAGGTTATCGATTGCTGGGAATGGTTCCTGAACAGTAGGGTAAATTAGACAGTATACCTACTTGAGCAGTTAAGTTGGGACAACCTGAGGATCTACAGAGAAGGCAATCAATCGAAAAATCACCTTCAATGGGCGGCTAGCCTTAATGTCTGGCTCGATCGAAGCATCGATGATCTTGTCGCCATCCGTAAACATCAAATACGTGTCTGGTTCTTCACAGGTGCGCCCCTTCAGAACACCTAAAATCGTTACGATAATTCATGAGAGCACAAGAGCCCCAGAGAAGAAAGGGGACCAAACCTCTTGCACAAGCGCAGCTGGGACTCTGTGTACCCGGAGACGAGAAGCACAGTTGTGGGCAAGGGCTCTTGCGAAGGTTATCTGTGATCTGACATGGTGAAGAGCCTCTTGGTTGATTTTCAGAGGAGAACACCACGACATCACCCAGATCCTTCAATGATGCGGCTACGGTGGTAGGTGAAAGCAACAACGACGTTTGGTTGGGCTTGCTGCAATGCAATTCATACTTGAGTGGATTACCAGTTTTCGTGAAAAGCTCAAGTTGCCTACTTGGATGCTCTGAACACCTTCTCCAGACGGTTATCCGTCCAGAACATTTGTTGGCCGACCAGCGAGATTCCAGCTGCGGAGGCGATATCGGCTCTCACGAGCTCAGGAACACCACCATTTGGACGGATTCTAAATAAGCTCATTCGATTACCGTAGAATAACTCATGGGGATCTTACTCCGTTACATCCGAATAAAATAATCTTGAACGATACACAGTGATAACCTGTAAATGCCGTCCTTCTTGGCGTCTGCCCAGTAGATCATACGGCTGGCTGGATCCACAATCACATCAGTAGGTTCGGCTACGTGTTCTGCTCCAACCACTACTTCACNATTCCAGCAGCGGAGGCGATATCGGCTCTCACGAGCTCCGGAACACCACCGTTTGGACGAATTCTAAAGAAACTCGTTTAAAGTCCTCAGGGTACCTAATAAAAGTCTTCCTTCATTACATCCATATAAAGTAATTCGGTAATATACGCAGTAATAACCTGTAAATGCCGTCCTTTTTGGAGTCTGCCCAGTAGATCATACGGCTGGCTGGATCCACAATCACATCAGTAGGTTCGGCTACGTGTTCTGCTCCAACCACTACTTCACGACGAGTTCCATCCAAGAAAGCACGCTGAAAACTGATGGAGTGGGTAACTGTAGGAATGGACAGGGCAGTAGAATAGGTCAGTTACCTGAATGCTGGGCTTCTGTCCCTGATCAGCCCAGTACAGGTAGCGTCCGATTGGGTCGACAGCTATCGAGCTGGGGGTCTCGGTCTTGGTCGTGAACAGTATCTTTCTGTAACATAGGTTTCATAAACTGAAGAAAAACGCCTAGGCTAAGCTTCTAGCCGAAGCCTGATCCAATGTGACCCTCGAACTGATCAACTAGGATAGATTCATCCCTTTCAGCTGACATATAATTAGATGCGCACCTGTATTGCCCATCCAACTTGCACACTTCGATATTAGTCCTTTCAGAGTCCTGATTAATGAAGTACAGATTGAAATTGATCCAATCGACAGCGATACTGCGGATCGTCATCGAACCGAATGTGTCACGAACTATGGGGCGTGGAGCTGACTCGCCGATTGCATACCTGAGAGAGGTATTCTAACATTTTGCCTCAACAGCATCCAGGACCTTTCTATTTTCAGCTTCTTCAATCAAACCGATAATGAAGAAAGGTGAGTAAGACTTTTAAGTTCTTTTCTAAATCTGACTACTACAAACGCACTTTATTTAAGTTGTTCGCCTGGAACCAATCTTGTCCAACATCTTTCCCTGGGAAACCATCAAACCTGAGGATGACGCAAAAGACCAGCCAAATAGCCAATGGGGAGAGAGAAATAGGTACGTATAACTCCCCTGCGTCTTTTACTAGTGACGACAAAGATCTTTTGACGAGCTTTCAATTAAGGTATCTATTTAAGCATTGTGGACCGGCATACAGTAGCAGAAGTTCTGCCTAGCGATACTCCTGTTACAGTATGCCAGACATCTTGCCAATGAATAATATTCGTTCTTGTCGCTAGCCCCACCTTTTGTACCCAACCATGAGGAATGTGATCAGGCCGTCTCGAAAAACTCGCCCACGTCAGATGAAGTTAGTTGGGTCTATTTCCTCTGCCCATCCCGCGGAAAAATATAGGATCTCTTCTATCTATTTAGCTATGACTGACATGTTTTTGTAAACTAGTTTAAGATTATCAAGCTTACTGACTCTGTAGGATACTGTAGAAATCTTTGTACTCACGCAGTGATGCCCTTGTTGATACCAGTAGCTTCAGCCACGAATATGGTCTTGCTCTCAAAGTCGAAATCGATTGATGTGATTGATAGGCCTCCAATAGGATCCATAGCTATACCTTTCTGACGGGAATCATCCAAACTAAATTGAATGCTGGATTAGAACCTCGAGTAGGGGACTTTGACGAGATACTCACGGATATCCGACGACCTTTGTCTTCGTTGCTACCATGACAAATGACTCATCGAATAGTTTGCAACTTGTCGGACCATCCTAAAAATAGGAATCTACTTGCAAGAACCAGTAGCATATTCTTACAACTTCACTTCCCGGAACCACTTGTGAGCTCCTTCGAACCTGCTCACAAAATCATCCCCGACGTTTCCTTTGGATTCCTTTCGGAACTAGCTTGGATTTTTTTAATTTCCAGAGATACCCATGAAACGGGGCCAGGTATACCAGATGATACTGTCGTAAAAAGAAATACTTAGACTTGCCTTGGTATAACCGGTTGCACAAATGCAGGTATGTTGACTGAATTGTTGCGGTACACAGATGTGTTTGCAGTTACCGTTATCTGTCCTGCATGGATGACTGATCGAAGCTGTAAGGAGGCACCATCAAACTTGCCGAATTTCAATAAAATGCCAAATTAGTGGAAGCCAGATTGAGTAGGATGAAAATACGAACACGATGTGGTTTCTTAAGATATTCAGAATTAACCGAGTTGAGCAAAGGTGAAAAGAATGTGAATATGGCGTTTGTTCAAAGGTGTTCCTATCTGATCTTAGACTGGTCAACTCACAAGCTCGTGGCTGCAGAACCTTGATGTTGACGAGATTTTCGATGTCTTTCTTGAAATGAGTGAACTGTGGTGGCTGGCCGTCGCCTACGATCGTTGCTACATCGATCGAATCAAATGCGGAATCAGCATAGAATAACCTGAGATAGATATTAGAAATTGGTTCAAGTTGGAAAAAAAGGCGTCAACGAACCGATCACTGAAGAACGCTATGCCATTCGGCTGTTTTCCGGCATCGTTGAGAATGTAGTGGCGATCTTGACCGTCATACGTCACCGATGAGATCTAAAACGAGATTTCGTCCACTCATTCTAAGTGCTGTAAGTCGCATAGGAGAGGTGTCAGCCTGGACTAACCACTATGGATCTCAAAAAGCAAGGAAATCTAAATGCCATGATTTTTGGATTCTCTTGATCGGAGGGAAACACGGGAAAGTAACCAAAAAATAAAATGGAGAACCCCATCTCGTGAACTTCGAACTCTTTCCTACTAATTAGTCCATATTCCAAGCTCATCAAGCTCTATTTTAGATCATTGGGATCCGAATAAGTAGTACACCTGTCCGAGCTGGAGTGAGAAGTGAATCAATGCCTACAAGCTGACAGAAACTATAAACACATCAAAATGGCAAAATGTAAAACTCACTCTTCCAGCTTTAGCCTCACTGAAGTAGACCCTTTGATTGGCAGTATCAAGTGCGATATGGTCGAGTTCTGTAAGGTCATTGCTGGCGATCACTAAAGCTCCAGTGCCGTCCAAGTTCGCTCTGGCCACTTTCACATCAGCTGCACCACCTCCTCTGTAAAAAAACCGTATAAGACTCTCGGAAGCCTTTTTTTCAATGTTGATGTGAAACAAGACAAATGAGAAGACCACTAAAAATCGTTGGAAATACTCAATCGTCATGCAATATATTCCATCCATGAACAAGTATTAATCCACCTTACTCACCTTTATAGGATGGAACCAGTTACTAACCATGAAATTCTTTATTCGAAATTATTTTCCATTCCTGCCACTACTCCTACAGTATTATTGTAAAGTATGATTGACTCAAGAAATGAACCTCACCTATCTAACCAGAAAAGTAGACCTCTGTCAGAGTCAACTGCGATCGAGACAGGTGTAACTACAGCAGTTGGTGTTTGGTCATTCGACAGTATAACTGCTCGGAACTGAAAATTCGGCAGTTTAAAGGCAATCCCTGCTGCGCGTGGATAATTCAAATTTATTCTACATTTGAAGAGTCTCGAAAGCGAAACTGCCTTCAATAAGTTGAAGTCAAATCAGAGCAGCTCCTATGTAGCTGCACGATAAAATGCACTGGAGTAAAGGAAACTCCTCTGTAGTTCAGATTAACTCACTTGGTTTCCTACAGTGCGAACCACCTCGATCGTTTGCGAGATCTTATTTCCAACGTACAGATTTCGACCATTCCAGTCGAATGCCATACAGTAAGGATCATCAGGGATTTGTGACGAGTAAAGTTGCGTCTGCAAATAAAAAAGATTTAGAAGATTTAGTAAGAGAGCTGTGAATGTTGCTCAGGGGCAGTATCCTTCGCAAGCACACGAAGTCAACGGGCCCAAAAAAGCCCCTGAAAAAGTCAAATTTCACTTTACCTTGTTGCCGGCGTTGATCGATGACTTGTAAATGGCAGCGTCCGTGGAGATTTGTGTGAGTGTTCGAGCGATGTTGGTGTGCTCCAGGACAAATATCTAAACCAGTAAGGCTTATATTTGGGTAGTAAAGTTGTGAAGCCAGTTGTGAAGGCCGAGTTTCCCATGGAGGGAAAGGGTTATTTAAATTACCGTTTCTGAAAGAGTTCATCTCTCGCAACGCTTAGGAAAAAGTCAGAGAAACTCAGAGGTCATAGTAGCCATCGTACGTTACTGAGAGCTGCAGAATCGATTCTGTGCAGATCGCCCCAGTTATTCCACTTATTAGAGTAGTGAAACTGGCACTACGCCTATATAAGACGATGAAATAAACTGGAAACCGGCTGGCCCTTTCCAAGCGAGTGAACATGCTGAATAGTCATGAAAAATGCCATTGAGACTCCTACAGCTACGCATCGTAGACCCACTCCCTTTCCTCCCATACTCCCCCCCCCCCCCCCCTCCCCAACCGATCCGTCATACCTACTTAGAAGGTAAGCCAAAACTGTCTCGTCTATCTACTTTTAGTTCGACATAATCCATTAACAGACAGCACTTACATCTCCTGAGTCGGCATCATAACCTGCATCGAAGGCATTTGCTAAGCCGGCCAGTGGAATCATTCCAGCCAATGACGGGATGGTGTTTGGCCTGAAAACACGTCAGTAATATTAGACGCAGAGATCTTTATTCAAAGGTGACCTAAATGAGTGTTTTACGACCGAATCCTGTACTTCGAATTACTCACTTGCTAGTCATTTCAACGCCGAATACGTTGTTCTTCTGGATGAGGAGTAGGAACGGCTTCTGATCCACAACGCAGTTTCTTCCGGCAGCATCGAGACGTTTGCCCATAGGGCATCCACAAGAGAATCCCTGAAGTTATTGAAAACCTCAAATGGTATTAAGAACGAAAAATTAGTCTAGTACAGACCGTTGATGAAAGTAGGCAGATGTGGGAACATGGGTTGCCTTCACAAGGATTCTTTACGGCCTTCGGCTGTAGAACGGGATGAACAGCTGTCACTCCCAGAGCCTTGAAAAGTGAAAGAATTTCATTCTGAGGCCGATAAAGAAAGAATATCCTTAGAATAGATTTCTTGGAAGCGAAAACCGCATTCGTACCTTGCTGAATGTGTGATTAGGATAGTCGCCGGTGGTACCGTTCGGATACTTCGGATATACTTGGAGTCGTTGAAGTCGGCGATCAGAGTAATACATGAAGTCTTCGAAAATTGCCAATGCATGTGGATGTTGTACGAATTTCGATGACGATAGAACTTGTGTTCTGCCTAAAACGACACACTTATGAATATAAATCAATATACTCACAAGTGGTCACGTAGGGTAACCAGATGCATCGCCCGGAGACTAGGATCGGCCCTCGGGACGGACCAAAACGACAGTTTTTTTTGAAAATTTCTCGAGCTAGGAATGCTAGCCCAAATAATTTTAGGAGAGAAGATACAAAATCACATAGGATTCTGAGGGTTGAGGCAATCCACACTTCGACCGAGCTCTGCCTGGGTGGCTATGGGGGTGACATTAAGGTTCACTACATGCCTTACCTGTTCCATCGTAGTTCACAAAATCGATGTAGTCCAGCTTAGAGTCGGCGAAATAGACTCGGTCGGTTGTCAGATCCAAAGCGATGGTATTTGGCCAGTAGATTTTAGTACTAACGATGATCTTGCGATCAGTTCCATCCATGTTTGCTCTTGCAATGTGCGGGTTCTGAAAAAGGCAACCAACGAATAGGCGATTTATTAGAGCGCCTGTGAAGCAACTATAAATGGAACAACTGAAAAATTGATCTGTATCAGGCAACACACCTGTCCCCAGTCGGTCCAGAACATCAATCCTTTCCGTGGGTCAACAGCGATACCACGAGGTTGGCTGATGTTCTCGTGAACAAGCAGTACACGAGCTGAGGGATTATCGAGATTTGCGGCCTGGAAAGTTCAATTTTGTATGATGGACGACAAACTCAAGAAGAGATCGCTTACCTCAATCGTATTGAGACTCGAATCTACCCAATAGAGATTCCTGCCAATCCAGTCGAGTGCGATTCCTTCGGTGATGTCCAGGCCATCTCCAATGAATGTCGTCACATTTGTGCCATTTCTTGTAGCCGAGAAAATCTTCTTCTCTCGGATATCGGACCTGAAAAGGTTGGAACGGTAGTGGACGTCAAGTCAATGAGATCCTTTGTCTCAGATTAGTTGGTGAAAGAAAGGTACCCAGGAGACGCAAAGTGCTGGGAGGGGATTATTGATAGCACCACAGACATGCAGGTCTAGAGTAGGACAGTATGCCGAATGGGTACTGTAGCGGATAAGCTCAAATCTGGATTGAGATTCGTGGTTCAGGGGTAAGGTAGTACACTGTGATACTAGAGTAGAGCAGAAGCCAAACACGATAAAGTAGTATAAGGCAGGGCTACGGTAGCTTGGGAATTAAAAATCCGAATTCAAAAACGCTTTAGGAGTACGGTAGTATACGGTAATATGGTACGGTAGCCTACCGTATGCTATGGCTGTTTCAGGTACGGTAGCATACTGTAGAGTAAGAGTGGGTTGGAGTACGGTAGTGTACTGTAGCCGCTACGGTAGCGCGGGAGTTCAAACAAGAATTTGGGGTTCGTGCTTCTGGAATGCAGTAATATACGGTGATGCATAGCGGTTTACTACTGCATTCCACAAGTCGAGCGTGGTACGGTAGCATACTGTGAACCACAGTTAAGTGTGGTACGGTAGTATACTGTAGGTTGGAATACTGTAGCATACTGTAGGAGCTACGGTAGCGCGGGAATTCAAACGTGAATTTAGCTATCAAAACAGTGCCATATACCAGTAGCTCCTGTTAGAAATACTTTTAACAGCACTTCGGAATCTTAGTACCCTTAACTTAAATTAACTTAAAATCCGTAAACAAAAGCTACATACCAGAAAATTCTGTCGGAAACGCTATCCCATGCAATAGCGATGGCATTCTCCACACCGGCAGCGAATGTTCGCCAGTTTTCCAAATGACTGTCACTCCAGTAAATCCTGAAAGCTATTTCCAATCAGAAATACCGCCTAGTGGCCATCTCTAATTTAGGGTTTTCTTTTTTTCTGACTTTGCAATGCTTCTTTCTCAACACACAGATTTGTTTATATCCAACTTTGCACTCATCCCTAGTTGAAAGCTCCTCATGAGTATGAGTTTTTATTCATTAGTGTCATAAGCAATTCTTGAAACTAAGTACAGTGAAGGTGGTAACAGTTAAGGTAACAGTATATTTTCAAAAAATAAAGCACTTTGGAAAGTCGGAAGGCTAATGCACCAGTCTTCTGAGCTCTGAATAAGAGATTATTCGGTGATCACGAAATGAGGAGCTATAGAATCATCATTGAAGGGCAAATTAGTGATATCATTAATAGACATAGTATCTCTGAATATGTACGTTCAATTTATCCTTTCCATATGGTCTCGTTTACAAATTAATGAATTCATCCCTTTTTTCCTTTTCATATTTCATGTTTGTCCCTTCGTGTGCTTTTGACATCCCCTGCTATACTGATTGCTTGTCCTTACCCCTAATCCGATTACCCAAGTTTAAAATTTGGATGAACTGGACTGACATAACGATGAAAAACGTTGTCTAGTCATAGCTGTGAAGAGTTTCAGAACGGAACGGCCTATGCAAAGCCGAAAAGTAAACTTTGGCTCCGGAACACTCGCAAACTAGCTAGAGAAAAAGGAAAAAATTAACAAGGTGGCTCTGTTATGCAGGTGGAAGACGGGCACAATCACGAAATGTTGAAAATAAAAATTGCTCTAAGAAATTGACCCGGCCGTTACAGCCCTTAGGTTTAACATCTGGTCAGCTACTTAGCTATTATGCAGACTTCCGTTTTGTTAAGATTACTATTTAACAATCTATACTGGAAATTTTTATCCGCTCACCTGTTCCGGTTGGAGATGTAGACGCGCATATCTTTGGCACCATCAGTAACTTTACAAGTTCGTTTGTCAGCATCCAGTTCGTATCCTTCTTCGCAACTGAAATATCGATAAATCGAGTTGCAAATCATGAAATACGGTAATGAAATTCGAAATTGTAAAAGGAGTAAGGGTAAAGAGCCCTACTGCAGGCTGCGTTGACCGGAAAACGTTCATTGGTAGATCTACTTGGGCAACTTGCGGTGTTAAGTGTGTGTGTACGTCCGTTTATTTACTTATTTGTTTGTTTGGCACACTTAATGGACTCTGCTCATGAGCAAGTATACTTGCCTAACAATGAGTGACTGATATGAGCTGTGAGCAGGACAAAAAATACCAAATAATCCGATTACCTGCAAGTAAAGCCGTGCTTCTCGTCGGTACATTTCTGTGAGCACGAACTCGCGTCAAGACATTCGTTCTCTGGCTCACATCTCGTCTTGTTCACCAACTAAAAGCTAACTTTTGGTACAACAACACTCTTGGGATTTGAGAAAGTTACCTGTTCCCCGAACGGACAGCTGCAAAGTGGTCCATTGGGGCTGTTGTGGCACTTGAAGGCACATCCGGCTCGGTCTGCTGAGCAGAGATCTCGAGCACACCTTAACACACCAATGTTAGTGGTAGAAACAATAGAACACGAGCGTAGTGATTAAATCTACATGAAGTCATTAAAAACTAAAATTAATAATATATTTTGAAAGAATCAATAAAGCTAAGTCTGTTTGTAGAGTTTAGCTTTCATTTTCAAAAATAGTCAACTGGTAATACCTGCCGCCCTCATCAGTGCCACCGGGACACTGTTCTTTGCCATCGCACAGCTCAGTGAGTGGTATACAAACATCTGGTGCTCCTTCACAGTTAACCTAAAATCTGAGAATTGTACTGAGAATGGTTGTAGTGGTCCCTCGGCGAACTGACCTGTTCAAATGGACAGCGCCTGGACAACTGCGACTTCTTACAGCCATTGATGGCCGACTCATCTGATCCATCACCACAGTCGTTTTCACCATCACAAAGCCACGACTGAAATGTACAGCTTTGCGGATTCAATCATTCGAAGGTATAATGATGGAAATAACTAATAAAAATATTAAACTGATCATCTGCTCCAGGTCTAGTACTCGTACTCGAAAAAAATGTCACAGAGGATGAAATGTCTGTTCTATAATATATAAAAGTGCAATGTGATATCAGAGCGCGAAATCGTCGAAGGCGGCGAGAGGCAAGCTTAGTAATAAATATCCCAAACGGCCCTTTCCAGTGATATATTGACAACTTCACATTCGAGTAGCATTGCAATCTCACCTAACAACACACCCCATCGATAGGATCAGTGGTGTAGGCAAATTGGCCATCAGCACTGACAACTAGCACCTATTAATATTCTTAAGCATGTTCCCCATTAAACTTCTCTATACCTCTTGTTACGGACTCTTTTGAAACAAATGACTACACGTCGACAAATTTCTTCAATGCGCAGGGTGCACTCTGAAGGAACAATCGGAGGAAGCATCCTTCTACGTAGTCTTCCATCTTCCCCAAGCGCAATTATGAATCTATATATGGCCCACAAATGAAATATTGTTCCAGTTGATACGTTTCATTTGGGGAAAAACCTTGTAAAACTTTTAAACCTTCTTCAGAAGCACAAAAATTGACGTACATTGAGAATACAGCGTCCATTGGCGCACTTGAAATGATCCTCTTTGCATGTGTTCGCTGCACAACCAAATGCCGGCTCGTCGGATCCATCATCGCAGTCCTGAGAAATAAGCTCTATCGACGAAAAAGCTCCCATCTATCGCCCGAATTACCTTCTGTCCATCACACTTCCATGTAGCTGGAATGCAGAGACCGCTCGATTTGCATTCGAATTGCTCTGACGTGCAGGCGTTTTGCTGAAATTCTTCTCTACCTTCTCACTTGTTGCTACGAAAACTTATCAACACCATTTAGATGATGCCCTGAGGCTTTCCTCTAGTTAGCACTTGATCAGCCGTTCAAGCAAACGGACCTACTATTGTCTAGAGGCAAATCCACTATTTCAAAAGGTGAATTGACTGTCCGACATAGCTTCATACAGAAACTGCTTTTTCATCTAATTCCGGTTTTGAGTTTTTGAAGTGAAACTCTCATCATCTAAGGTGACGTAACTTAAAAGCAATAAGCTACATAACCAACACATGCTAATACCAACCTGAGTCAAGCAACTGTCTTCATCAGAGCCATCTTCGCAGTCGTTTTGTCCATCGCAATGATTTCGCAGCGAAATGCACTGGCGACCATTGGCACATCTGAGGACTATGCAAAGTAAAATACAAGTAGAAGACAAAATAATCGAATCAGATGGACCAATTTTAGAATCTACGTTCAAGAATAGCGAAGCTCACAGCTTCAAAAGCTTTAAAGGCCTATAACGTTCTGTCATTCGAAGTTTACCGGGTGAAGGAAATTGCAGAAACCATCGGAACAGTAACTACCCCCTCCCGTCTTGTTAACTCACCTGAACTGATCACTGCGGCACTGTGTAGGAGGACATCGTTCCTTGTCCTCATCAGTTCCATCGTAACAATCGTTGTCACCGTCACAAAGCCAATAGATAGGAATGCATCGCCCATTTGCGCATGAAAACTGAAAGAATAAAAATACTTCCAAGAGGAAGGGGATTCTGGGAAAGCATAGCGCATCCTACGAATTTACAAGTAGGTCAGAATACTATTAAGACTCCAAGAAAAATGATAGAATTTATGGAAATAGTTGAGATACCTGGTTAACAGCACATGTGGCGTTTGCGCAAAACTCAAGCTTTTCATCAGAACCATCGCCACAGTCGTTATCGGAATCGCATTTCCATTGCTCCGGAATACATCTGGACCGGATATTGCTAGAGATCAGTTGAAATGAGATAAAGCAAAACTGTTATCACCTGTGATTGTCGCATTGGAACTTCTTTGCTGAGCAAACTGGCTTCTGGCCATCTTTACAGTACTGGGCGTCTTCATCAGAATAATCACCGCAGTCGTTATCGCCATCGCAGCCGTACTGCGATGGAATGCACTTCTTGGTGTTCTTGCATCGAATCGTATTCTCAGGGCATTCCATCTGAATATCGTTGATTGATTCTTACTTATTAGACCCGTACTGCCGTGAAGTTATTATTGGGGTGCTAGAGCACGGCTATTCTGGAAGACTATGGGGAATCAGATCTGTGCTCCACTCAAAGTGTAGATGGAAGAAGGGTTAGGCTAGACGATGCTGATAAGAGGAAAGTGAATTCGCAAAAAAACAATACTGTTGGATTTTCTGAGCTCGATACAGAATAATTCGAATTCTCTCGGCCCAAAAAAAGATGCTGAAACTCGTGATCCAGCAAAATTAAGACTAAAAATCATCATGGGAAAAACGAAAACTTCTTCAAAAGGGATGGATTTGAGGTTTGCAAGCGTGTGGTGGATGGATAGAGATGTAGGGTGAACAGCAGATATGTAGTATAAGTGCATATTGCATCTGAGGTAAGTTACAGACCTCGTGGTAGCATTTGTTCCCTGAAGCGTCCACCTCATCTGATCCATCGAGACAGTCATCTTCTCCGTCACATTTCCATTCTCTCGGGATACATCGACCATTGTTACACTGAAATTTTGACCCTCAGTTGTCCGTATTTTAAAAAAAGGCGGATCACAGGGATGAGTAGTACGCCCCCTCACTTGGTATTGAGTTGCATTAGAGGTACATAGCGGTTCAGTCTGCTCCGAGTTATCCTTTTGGCATGTGTTTCCGGTTTCTGGATTGATTTTGAAACCTGAAAACGAGTAAATGATAAAATTCGATTACTATCCTGGTATCGGTAATAGCAGTACCCTGTCTCCCCCATCCTCTCGTTTTCTATTGCTCTCCTACTACTACGTAGTGAAGCGAAGCATTTTATAAATTCGGACTTGTCTGGTCACCCCCCACAACCCTTACCGTAGGCATGTTTTAAAGAATATCTGATAGCTTTGCATGTTTTCGCACTGGGTAAGCTCGAACCCTATTCCTTTCAGATTTCGTCTCCCTTACCTTGCCGGCAGGCACACTGAGCAACGAGCTTCGGTGCGTCGTTCGCGGACGAGTTGTTCGGTACGGCAAAGCACAGCTGAGCGCATTGCGAAGAATGGCATGGGTGATCTTGTGAGTCTTCAGGAATTGGCTGATTTGAGTGCGTACATGCTGAAATCGACAATATCAAAGAGACTCTCTAGCATGAAAATATGAGTCATCAGACAACTCGTACAGACCTTTGAGACTGAAAATACTCCTTTCTTCTCCAGAAAACTCGCGGATTACTCGTCCAGTGCCACCGTTTTTCTTGCTAACCCGTCGAATCGAATATGGACGTTGGTGGACGTAGTATAGATGATCACCCATAATAGCCAGGGCTACAGGGATGGGATTATCGATTGGCAACACAACCACCTACAAAATTGATCTATAAATTCTATACCATTACCAGCTAACCAATCTAGTCACCCTACCTTCGAGCCGTCGAAGTCCATGCAGCTGATGGTCTTCAGGAGTGTGTCACCCCAGCAAAGTCGATCCTCCTCGAAATCGATGGCCATTTCTGAAGGTCTTCCCAGAGTTGTGTTTCGAATAACGAGGCAGTTGGTGCCATCCATGTGACACCTGTAAAGGAAGGGAAAAAATGAATAGAGTGTAGAAGAGAATACTGAAAAGTATCACGAATTACTACAGTCTACACCCATTACAATTACTACTGTAGTATTGAGCATTACAAGAGATAAAGTTGAGGGTCCCGTCCAAGTTCGACACTTTCTATAGATCCCAGTGTCTTCTTCTTCTAATAGTAAGCCAGCTAGCGTGTAGACCTAATTCAGCTAGGTCATCATCCCCGTCTAAGACCCTTTTTATGGTTTTTGTAGGATAAAATAGTAGTTAACGCGTGAATAGTTCTCGAAGTAATTATCTACTTTATAGCCTCTAAAGAACCCGCTGAGACTGTACCATCATCCAGCTATAGTGCTTCCGTCCATTTTGGATTGCCAGTCCGATTATCTTTCAACTCGGCTAAAGACAACGTAGTCATTCTCATCCTGAGAGAAGGGTTGACGATACTCTGCGGAGTGATTGAACTTCGATTCATTTGTGAAATTTCCAAGCTAAAGCTGACCTCCACTCTTGGTTGAGAGGATAAAAAATGAAGTTTGTTAATGGTTGTGGTGTAGTGAATTGAAGACGAATTGGCTGGCTTATGCAATGGCTTGCGGTGACCAGCCGATGCTCGTCAGCGCATTCAATCTCCCAGATGAGTCTGATACCAACTTATCAACCCTGTGAATGGATGAAACATGACTGGTTCAGGCAAGTATCGAGCGAAAGTTTACGCGTGTGTGGCAGTGCGCCGCTTACCACTATACCACCTCTGTCCTCAGTCTTTGTTAGGATCCGGAAAAGAAGTTCTGGATACCGCATAAATGACCTATTCGCCAGCATAAATGCTCCATCCTTCCCTGACCGTTTCTAAAATGTGCGTCGATCCCGGGAAAACCTTCAAAGTCCTAACCTGTATATTCGTGCAGGTCTCTGGGCTTCTGCATAGAACAACAGTCCTTTCCATGGGTGAATAACTACAGCAACAGGATCACGAAGATTCCTGAGCAGTAGACGATGCATGAGCTGATCTGGATGGACGAGACCGGTGTCGGAGATTTTCACAACCTGAAAAGGAATCAGATTACCTCCGCACAACCGTTATCATTTCAGAAGAACGAACAGAAATAAGTGGAGTGTGTCTTACCTCCAAGCTGTTTCTGATGTTATCGATATAGTAAAGTTGTTTGCTAATCCAATCGAATGACATTGAGACAAGGCCGTCATTATGCGTCACCAACACTGGAGCCGATCCTTCACCATCAGGACGGATCCTAGAAAGGAAGAAACCATCGGAAATCATAACTAAGCCTCTAGCTGGACACTTCTGTCCGATTTCCTCTAAGAAACGTTTTCAAACTGGAAAATAAGCCGAATAAGAGAAATAACGACATGTTCCAGAAATTTGGAGGGTACTGTCGGAGTGGTGGGTGCGAAGAAGGCTTTGGGCTCGCTATTGCAACAGAACTTACCGGTATACGGTATTATCCATGATGTCAGCATAGAAGAAGCTATTGCCATGTACGTCGCACTCCACTTCAAAGTACATTCCTATACGTCGTTGAGATATGGGCGATATGGGCAGGATCGCTTCCGACAACGAATTGGAGACCTGGAAGATATCTCTATGAGTCTTGGATAAACTGTGGAGGTGTAAGGAGGGACCAACCTGGTCGGGGAAGATTCCTCGAACAATCTTATTGCTTGAAAATAGGAGGTAATCGATCGAATCAATACATTTCTTTCCTTCGACCAATTTCTGAAAGCACATCTGTTCAGTCTAATTCTCAACGGCGACTTCCGGGTATATTGTTGTGCTCTGGGAAGATCGCCAAAGCTTTGAATGTTTACCTGGCCAATGGGGCAGGCACATGTGTAGCCGACTCCGAAGCCTCCAGAATCTTTGGACAGAATACACATGCCTTCACAGTCAGCTGTGGCACATGGATTATCGATCTTCTGCGCCAAACATTCACTTTGCCCTGGTCCTTAAGAAAAGAGGATAAAATGTCAATTTCAGTTGAATGAATAAACTTAGAAATTGATTCTCACCTGGTTGTGCCATGGGATGGTAGGCTGAGATGCCCATGGGGAATACGTTGTTTTCCTTATTGCTCCTGAAACAAAGATCATCCTCGATTTGATGGCGTTCTATAGTGACCATTCAGGGTAATAGCCCTTTAGAGTTCCCAAAAATGAAAAGTTGGTTCGTGCCCGAATTCCTACCGTAAACCTGCCCACCATAACTACTGAAACGCTACGCTATAAAATGAAGTTATTGTTTTAGACCACCCTGCGCCTAAATCGAATTATCTTGAAACTGAGTATTACGTAGAAAGAATGGGATTTTCCGAAAGTTCTCTACTGTGAGTCCCCACTTATCGTCCCCATTCCCCACAATTGGTGCAGGACTCTGCGGGATCCTCCCATTTGCTTTTAATCGAGAGTCCGCCCTCGAAAAGTCTGACTCGTTGAATAAATGGCAGCAATTAGGTTTGCCATATCCTCACCACTTATAGAAACTCCATAAAAAATCTCAGACTCCAGCAGGGACTGTTGCAGGGCTTATTGTTAGTCTGAAGCCAGGTGAAAGAGTACCTCGTGTAAGGTGAGTAATTCACTGGTAAAGTTCAAAATAGAGGAGAATGCACTGACCAAATAATCTCTGTAGGTGATCCGAACTTTTCGATTTTGACCACACCAAGACGGGTCCAGTCAGTCCAGTACAAGTACTGGTCGAATAGTGCCAAGCCAAACGGATGTGGTACGTTGTTCATTCCTTGGGCGACAATCCGGCGGTCATTACCCTGAATATTTAGGCATTACGAAACTATTTGCTCTGGTTTGCAGCTGTTTTTCGCAGTACTTTGGAAGTTTCAGCAGACGGATGACAACTCGTTGATATGAATTGGTATGAATAATTGTGTACACCCAAATGAGGGCTTGGAAGTGGGGCTGATAAGCCTGGTGCTCAAAAAAAGGTATCCTACTTAGTATTCAGAGCTCTATTCGCACAGAAACGGAATATTGGCCCAAGGTGTCGATAGTGTTCCCATTTTGCCCGGAGTTTCAAAGATACGACTGTAGGACAGAAATGGGGAAAACATAAAATTAAAAGTGAATTTGAGAAAATTTCAGCTGTAGCCCTATCAAGAACCGAACTGCTGGGGCAGAAGGCCATCTTGATTGAAAATCAGAAAATCGGTTTCATACCCTTAATCCCAAAGCAAGAGCTCAATCGAGCAGAAGAGCCAAAAGAGTAATAGTCAAGCTAATTCTAACTATCGATTGGTACCTGGTAATCAATACTCTCCACTCTGTCGACCTTTGGATCTACCCAGTACACTCGTCGTGCTGGAATGTCGACGACGATTCCAGAAACCTGTAGAATTCATGTTTTATTCTAATTTCTGAGAACTTCTCGGAAGTACTGCCAAAATGATTCCCGTACCTGATGAGTATGGGTATTGATCAGTGTACGACGTCGTGATCCATCCATCGCAGCACCCTCCACCTTGAACTGATTGGTGAAGAACATCTCACTGTAAGCAAGAGTCGTTCATAGAGAGAGGTGATGGCGATATTCGACCTTCTACTTAGCCCATGGGTTACTCACCCTCTCAGAGGGTCCAAAGCGATATCAAGAGGGAGAGTAAGGCCATCTGCGAGTAATACAGTTCGACGATCACCATCGAATGAGGAGACGTCGATACGACGGGAACCTAAAAAGATGGTAATGGACCCAAGGTACTACATCCTTAATTTCATCAAAATGACGATATCAAAAGGCAGGGTAGTATGCGGGGCAACCTTGCCTCCAGTCACACATCAAATTTCGAGAATTTCGAAAAAAAATCCATTCTTAACGCCCACTGCGGCCCTAATAATCAACTACGGCCCCCTCCTTTAGTTCAGACTGCGATATACGGTCTTGACACTGACGGTAGGGGGCTTCAGACAAACAATGGAATAAGAGCTACAGTACAATAAGTCCTACCTGATTCAATAATATAGAGAGTATTTGTGATCCAGTCAACGGCTAGCGATCGTGGATAGACTAATGACTTGAGACCGAGCTTCCTGGAAAGCAGTAAGCCATCGGGGGCATTCAAAAAATTAACAGAATTTACCAAAATGTAGAANCTTGAGACCGAGCTTCCTGGAAAGCAGTAAGCCATCGGGGGCATTCAAAAAATTAACAGAATTTACCAAAATGTAGAAAAACTGTAAAGGATTCAAAGACTGCGGTGTAACTTTGTAAAAACTCACTTTATATGGGATATATCGCCAGCTTCGTCGACATCAGCACTGAATGCCGAATGCGATAGCCGATCCGTCCAGAAAATCTAAATACCTACATTTTCAGAAACGTCCCAGTTTGAGTGTAAAATGAAAAGACGAATGGTCTAAAGTAATGAAAAGATCCTAATCAATTGCTGAGGAACAACAGTATCGAACCTTTCTATCTCCATAGTCGAAATCGATTCCATAAATGAATTCTCCTGAAGCGAGCCGCTTTGGTTCCGTATTGGGACCGGTTGGATCAAGCCTGAAAACGAGGTGTGGAGGATTTAGACCCATTCTCTGAAGCCATCCCACGACATTCAGCCATATGCATCAAATCATAATCGGACTCGAAATATTAGGTTGTTCGGAAAGGAATGCGCGTTTAAGTTCAAAAAATTTTTTATTATAAAAACGAAACTAAACAA